GATGTTATGTGGCTTTGAGCATGCGTTATTTTGGGGTTAATGCAAAGGATCTGTACTCAGACATGAGGTGTAGTATGAAGCCACATTTAGACACACGATGTGTTAGTAGGACATTTGAGCTATGTTATTTTTCCTAGTTGAGTTACAAGAGAGAGTTTCATACATGTGATGGGGAACACTATCATCACTAAACATGGTTTAGTCCATAGTTTCTCTGTAGACTGGGCTTATTACTAATTTGGAATGGAACTGCACTTGGGGTTTATCCCAGCGCTGTGATGTGTCAGCCTGTATGAGAAACACTTCAAGTATCTGGTCAAAAACTTTCATCTCTTTTGCTGAGTGAGGGGTTGTCCTGGTTTCAGCTGGGATAGAGTTAATTTTCTTCCTGGTAGCCGGTGTAGTGCTTCGTTTTGGATTTAGCAGGAGAATAATGTGGTAACACGCTGATGTTTTAGTTGTTGCTAAGCAGTGTTTGTACTGAGTCTTTTCAGCTTCCCATACCCTGCCAGCAAGGAGGTGCACAAGAAGCTGGGAGAGAGCATGGCCAGGACAGCCAACCCAAACTGCTCAAAGGGATATTCCATACCATGTGATGTCATGCTCTGTATGTAAACTGGGGAGAGTTGGCCGAGGAGCAGTGATCGCTGCTCAGGGGACAGGCTGGGCGTTGGTCAGTGGGTGGTGAGCAGTTGCATCACTTGTTTCTCCTGGATTTTGTTCTTCTCTCTCTTTTGTTGTTTTCATTGCTATTTATTATTTTTGTTGTTGTTAATTTATTTCAATTATTAAGCTGTTCTTATCTCAACCCACGCGTTTTCTTACTTTTGCCCTTCCGGTTTTCTCCCCCACCACGAGGGGGAGGGTGAGCGAGTGGCCGGGTGGTGCTTGCTTGCCGCCTGGGGTTAAACCACAACAGGGGTAGGAGTCCAGATTATTTTCTATATTGCAGTTTCTCCACTTACTGTGTCCTTGGGGGATGGATGCGCTGTGAACAGGATGTCTGGTTCTAATCTTCCTGCTTCTCAGAGGCTATAGCTACTGAATCAAATTCTTCAAGAGAGAAGTACTCTTTATTCTACTGATGGCCAAGATGGAGACAGACTGTTAGGGTATGTGATAAAAGGCCTGTTTGGCTTCTCCTAGTGGGACCCCTGTGGTCCAGGGGTGACGTCTATGAAGATGAGGCTTTCCAGAGCACCCCAGTCTGAGGGGGTTTATGCCAAGGGGTAGGGGACACATTATGGAATGCAGGGAAGAGCATTTCAGTATTACACAAGACTTACAGGATGTATACGGCAGGAACCAAAGGGAGAGCAAGGGAGGGATTTAGGTGATTTGGGGAGGAACAAGTGTGGGAAAATAGAGACATAGGGGCTAGAAAGGGTGGCTTGTGTAAGCAGGGCTGGTCAGCATGCTTATCGCACTGTGACCTGTATCTGATCAGTACAGTCTGTCCTGACTTGTTATTAAACTCGATTTCTATTTTCTTGGGCTAGGGACTCTTGTTTGCTCTGTGTGTGTGCATGTTTGGGGGGAGGGTCTAAGTGCCAGCAACTGGAATATATGTATTTCCCACGAATGGACCGTCATCCAGATCAGCTAGAGAGAGGAACAGGATGAGGCTATTAGTGCTGTTTCTCTGAGTGCTGTTCACTTCTGTTTGTGTTGATCTGCAGGGCTTGCTGTGTATATATGCATATACATGTTGTATAGGTGTGTTTATGACTGTGCCCGCTGGGCTTGCATTCCCAGCTTTCTTTAAGGGAACATGGATGGAGAGAGCATCTGCTCCTTCCTCCATAGCAGAAGACAGACTAATTTGCCTTGTCCTCAAGCACTGCTTTGCCACTGCCCACCATTTGCACACTTTTAGCGAAACCGTATGACACCTGTGTCGCTTGTCAGCAATACTAGTTCTGCCCTCCAGCGACCTTGTGCAATTTCTGATTTTTAGGTATGGTAGGTTTAAGTTACAACTGGCAGATGTTCTGTCACTGTGGTACAAATCTGCTCCACCTTTGGTGCTTTTCACAGAGAAGAGAAGGGTGATACGGGCCTGATCTAGCTAACATGGGCTTGATTTTTGTTTACATGTTTATTACTCAGTTCTTTGGGGCAACTGGCTTCCCAAGCCTTTTAGTTATGTCCCTGAGCCTCTCTAGGCTCCCTTGCATGGAAGTGCTTTTCTTTCAGCACTGCACACTGCTCTCATTTTATCTTGTCTCATCTTGTACCTTAGAAAAGCGTTGGGAGCAGAGGACCTTATGCCATGAGGGGATCAGCCTGTGCAGATGCTCTCCTCTGCATAACAGCAGCAAAAGAATAGCAGCATCAAGAGTGTGGCCTAGAGGTCGCAGGTTCCTAAACATCGTGACTAGAACACGATTTCTAGAAAGGATGACTTTCCAAGGGCAATCAGTTTGGCCTGTCGTTCATTCTGCTTTTACAGGAACAAACCTCTAGGGAGGTGGTGGGGTTTTACTTTTTTCTAAGAGTGCAACAGCTGATAAGTACTTGAAATCACAACAACCTTTAGCAGCCTGTCTCTGACTGTAGCCTATTTCCACACTTCCAACTCTGCCTTTGAAACTGTTGCTTGCTGTTTCTCATCTAAATAAATGTTTGAGGTGGTTTCATTTTGTATTTGAGAGATGCTGTTCTTCCCTCAGCATTCGAAAGAAAGCTGAATTTGCATGATCACCACTAGATAGTGGATGCAGGGAGACAGTCAATTTGAGGTACATCATGATTAAGGTTGAGCATGCATCTGTTTTCAAATTTTAAAAATTGGCTTTACATCTGGCTCAAGTGGCAATCTAGTAAATAGGGGTAATTGTGTCTTAGTTTCAGTCACTTTTCAGATGCCATGGTGTTTTAGAAGTGGCACGTTGTGCATTGTGTATTAATTAATTCCAGTGCGGTGTAATGATAGGCTTTCAGCTGCATGCTTTATTTCCAGGGCGAAGGGAAGCATTGCTGAAGCGCGCTCCAGAAGAGCACTGCTCGCTTTGATACAAGGAGGCACGGGGCTGTGGTGGGGAGAATCTAAGGACACTGTTGTTCCAGCAGTCATGGCTGCATGTGCACATTATCAAGCTTGAAAGGCCTTCACAGCGTTTCGGGAGAGATGCAATAGCACTGATTGTGATGGGTGACTGAACACATTTTCCTTCAAAGCTGCTCAGAAACAGCTGACAAATGCAATTTTAGGAAGGCTTCTGGAGAAGCTTAGTGCATGTGTCTTTGTTGCCACCTACTGGAAAGGGAGAAGAATTAGTTTTTTAGTAGATTCTGCAAACATCGCACCCTTTTTGGTTTTTGACAAGATGCATACCAACTTTTTTTTTTGTACAAGTACTTATTCAGATTGGCAATGGAAGACAAAAGTATGTGCAAAGCAAAACTAGTATGGTCTTGATGCTCCTGGAGAAATTGCTCTACTTCACTCTCTTTCCTTTCTTCCATCATTATTCTGCATTGTTTATAAATAGCCTATTTCCACAGGCACTTTCATCTTAGGGGGCTTGGTTTTTTAGCTTGTTCTTGTAAGCAGTAAGGTTGCAGAAAGAAAAAGAGCTTGGAATAAGCAACTGCAAAGCTGATACTTCTTTGAAGTGCTCTCTAGAATATATGTGCACCTTGAATTTAATAGCATCTTTATTTGAATGAAAGCAAGGTGGAATTTTTCAGAAGCGCTTGTTCCTAATCTGTAGCTAGTGATGTCAGTGGAATTTTTTTGTGTGAATTTCAACGAGAATGTTTATGTCATGACCAAGTATTTTATAATAATCTACTTTCAGATGTATAATGCTACAGCCAGACTCACTTACTTAAGAGTTACATATAGGGAAAAGGGAGGAGCACTGCTTTATTCATGTATTAACAATGCATGTTTAACTTAAATGTTATTACAGTTTATGGAAATCATATTGAGGCTTCAAGTGTATCTTTTGACTGGTAATTCTGAGACAGATTTTAATGCAGTCAAGCAATATCCAGTATGTTATTTTATATGCATGTTTTTTCCTATGTATTTTTATAGTTTTGTATTATATACAGTATATAAACGATATCTAAAAATACATATATGTATGTATTTTATACATATATGTGTATACATATATATTTCAAGAAACATAAATTTAATAGATAAACGAAACCAAGGAAACTAGAACAGGAGCTAGGTGGGCAAAGGATCTCAGATGATATATTAGACCATTTAAGGTGAGGCACTATAAAGCAATGACTTGCCTATAGTCACATAGGGGAGTCTGTAGCAGAGGCAGAAGCAAATTTAGATTTCTAGAATGCTAACCATAAGGCCCCCTGTCTCCCCAATTGTTGTTTTGTCCCCCCACTCCAAACTAAACAGCTTTCTTGCATCTCTGCTTGAATTTCTCTCATAGTTTCTGTAAACATTTCTAGTTCCAGAAATGAAATACCTTGTTCTTCTTCCCTTCTCTTAAATGAAGTCGTCTTTTTAGCAGCTGTCATCTCAGTAATGAGACTGACTTCTACAGCTTGCAAGTAGATTTCAATCCTAGGTTTTAATCCATGTAAAGCAACAACATGCCTTGAGCAATTCCTGAGAGTGCTTCAAAAATACATTAGAATATGAGGCAGTGAGATATTAATGTCACTTTCAATTTTTTTTCATGTTTTTTCATCATGATTGAAATCATGCATGAAGCTCGTGGCATTAGAGCATTATCTATTGTGCAGCTAAACACAACAGAGGGGATATTTTAATGAAATTGTACTGAGATAACTTCTTCTGTCTGAGTATAAGTATATATAAGTTTCTAGCAGCCTTTACATATTTAATGTCTTGCAGCCAGTGTCCCACTGCAGATGATACCCATTGACAAAGACAATATATATTTTAAGGTTTCATCACAGACCTCTAATTCTTTTTTGGTAAACTGACTTTTTTTTAAAAAAAAAAAGTACAGTTGGACTGTGCAGTGACAAGATGCTTTGTGTTTTTTTTTCTTCAGGTGAAAAACGTGTTTTGTATGAAGGCAAAGGAAGGCAGAAAAAAATCAATACGTGCCTTAGTGGCTATTGGAAATGGTAAAGGGGCTGCAGGTATGTGCATTTACTGTATGTAAAAGATGCAAAATTAGTCACTGTTTGTAATAGGACTTTGGGAGGCATGGTGATTTAAAGGGACTTTTTATTCTTTAAAAAAAATAAATAAAATGTACCCCTTTTTCCACTGGGAAATATTGAAATACCTGTAAGAATTTTGAGTTTCATCTGTAAAAGTAAGCTTTATAATCGAATTATGTATGTATTCATTTGGACACTTTATTTTGTGTAAAAAAAATAGTAATATGTGATTAGGTTTGGAGTTTGTATTCTCCAGTGGTAAAAACATTTTTTTTATTTAACTGTACAGTCATAGAACTAACCACTGGTAGATCCTACCAGAAGGGATTGTCTGTGCTTTCTTGTACATGCTGTTTCTTTTTACTATAGATACTGTTTATGTTTAAAAAAAATCAAAGCCTGAAAGTATTCAGCCATGCATATCTGCATTTGTTTCACCTAGCCTTCGGCACCTGGCTGCAGAGTGTAGGTGTTCACTCTCACATCAAAGAAAAGAATCAGGCACCTGCAAAAGGTGCCTGGAATTGCAGGTGGGCTGACGTGCCCGAGGAAGCCTTCATCCCCTTGCGCTGATGGTGGAATAAAACTCATCTGAGTGTGCTATTCGCAAGGGGTGCCTGGGCTTGACTAAAATGAATCTTGGATCTTCATGGTTAGTAGAGCAGATAAAGTCATAAGAAAGTAGGAGTCAGTGGATGCAGATTTGTCTTTCTGGTTTTGAAAATCACTTTCATTTTGTTGGGGTTCTTGGAGTTTTACTTTCATTTGCTCTAACAGCTGTGACCACTTTGCAGCAAAGTGCAGCATGACTGGTTGTGCGCTTTCCTGTGTTATTTTCTAGTTAGCATTAGTATTTCTAGGTAGAATTAGTATAAATCTGGCTGATTTTTTTTTTTTTTTTTTTCTAAATTCTCCGTAATCTCAGGATAGTCTCTTGGAAGTATTACTGCTTTTAGTTAAAAATATCTTGTTTACTGGCAGTGTCATCTAGCATCTTGATTCAGAAATTCGTAATGTAGCTGTCAAATCAGAAGAGCCTAAATTTCCTTCTGATTCAGCTGCTTTAGGAAGCTTTCTTAATTTATTGAGGTTAATCATAAAAAAAAAATCTACTTTATGGGCTTCCTACAAATACTGTATTTACACTTCTAAGGAAAAACAGAATACGTGGGGTCCTTTGAGTCCCATCTCATGGTAACTTCAGTGATCTGCAGCTTGACCCATTTGTAGGCTTTCTCCATTATTACTATAACGGTCTTTTAAGCAAGCAAAGTGAAGTCTAACCGTAGAAATGCTGGCTTTCTCTATTATGACTTTACAACCGTCTCTTCGGCAAGCACTTTGAAGTCTAACCATAGAAATGCTGTCTACGGCATAAAGTAAATAGGACAAATCAGAAGAAATGGAAGATTATGAAGGACCTTCTAATATGAGCTGTGAAAAGAGACCTTTTTCCTTTTCTGTCTCAGCGAAGACTGGAGAAAGAATACTGGTCAGAGGCATTCAGTTTAGTTGCGATTTCCTTGTAACGGAACTCTAAGCACAGGTATGCATGCAGGGTAGTGATGACCAAGCTATCTCTAGAAGCAATCAAACCATCTCAGTGTAGCATCTAACTGGGATTAATTAGCCCTGGATCCCAGCTGGTATCATGGTACTACTTCATGTGTTAGTAAGATCACTCACAGCAAAAACAATACCTGGCATGTTGTGCCATGTTCCTCTCCCCAGAAGTTTGGAAGATGCTGCAATAAGTAATGATAATTCTTTCTTCGAGTGAAGTGTTTAGCAATCTTAGCCAGAAGAGCCTTTGAGATGGTCAGAATTGCTCTTTACAAAATGAGGAGAAAAGAATTCACTCTACTGCAGCTTTTTATGGGGTTGTATGCAACGTAAAAAGTTGCAAGAAAAAAAATCTTGAATCAGTTATGGCTGTTGATGGGAAACTCAGTGTAGAGAAGGCTGAAGTAGGTTCTGTGTTATGGTTGCAAATTTTCTAAACAAGCAAGTCCCATTTAAAAAAAACAAAAACAACCAAAAAGAAAATAGACATGGCCAGACAAGGCTGACAAGCACATGGTAGTACCTCAATGCAGTGGAATAGCCAGGTGTTTATATATTGGTTATTACTGGATATATAATACTTAAAAATATTACATATTGGTAAAGGAAAAGGAGACATTCCATGATGTGGTGGTCACTGTCTTTTTAAAAAACAAACTAGACAAAACAAAAACAACAACAACAACCCCAACTGTCACTATGTTTTTAAAAAAAAGTCTGTAAAGACTAGCAGATATTCACAGAAAAGTATATTTTCTTCTAAGGATTTTCTGTTTCACTTTGTCAGTTACAAAAATTATTGGGCATCCTTCCTTTGACAGTACATGGTTTGCTTTTGGTAGCCAGCTTTTGGGATGGGTCAGATTCCGAGACAGAATTTAAAAAGCTAATGCTAATACCACTTAATTGTAAAGGCATCCATAAAGGAACTATGCAGCCACCCTGTACAGCAATGAGTTTCTTGCAGGTTTCTAGTTTTATTATTGAGGAAATAGTGTTTATCTTTCATTCAGTTTTCAAATACCAGGAGTTAAAGACTTTTTTTTTGTGGTTGTTGCAGGATAAGTTTTATTTAAGAAGCACCCTTGAATGTGCTAAGTTTTTCTCTGTAAGAAGACAGTTTTCATGCATTCTCTTGTGGATACAAACCGATGTACATTGAAATTCCCATTAGACCTCATATGGGCTTAGAGATAAGACAGCTGTGCAGAATTAAAAGAAGAATCAGCTACAGAAATAGAAACTGCATAGCTGTGAAGTAAATAATCCAAATAGTAGAGGATTCCTACCTTTATCAGGAGGTAGGAATGTGGCATGTACTGTATTGGTGACAGAGTACAGGAAATTGCATTTGCAGATGCAATATGTCTCTAGTAAAGAAAATCCTGCTTTCAGTATACATGCAGAGCATCCACGTTTTGGATGTAAATAGTCTCCTTTCATTATGAGCTGAATAGGTATCTCTGGTGATGGGATGAATGTCGGAGCTTTAATAAGACAAACTACAGTTTTGCAGAACTTCATTTTTGTACAAGATTCAAGTCCAGATGTGTTCCTCAAGCTGAAGTTTAATTGCAGTTTGGAGGGGAGAGAAATTTATAGAGAGAGGAAGGTGTGGTTCTCCGGCAGCAAGATATGTCACTGTGAAAAAATTCTTTCTACCTCTTCTTTGTAAAGCTTTTTCATGAAATATCACTTTAATCCATATGTGCTGAATGATTGCCTTGAGGTTGCCCAGGTGACCTCACTTCTGGCATTTTCTAATCTGTTCTGTGACTTCACAGCATTAATATGCTGCTGTTGTGCTCTGTGTGTGTGTTTAAAAGAATAGTATAGTTCCCTTGCATTTTCTTGTGCAGGAGTTAGAATGTGACAGAGATCTCTGGGTGCACGGTGCGTGCACAGAGGAGGCTGTTTCAGGAGGCAGCTGATAGCAGATGCTACCCTTGGCTGCTTCTTCCACAGCAGTCTCCAGGCTTGCAGTCATATCTTCTTTGCTTGTAGCACCACAACAGTCAGGATGGTACTTCTTTCCTAGATCTCTTCCAGACCATTTCTCCTTTAATGTCTGCATGAAATTAGTGACTCAGTGTTGGCCAATGGGTCCAATCCCATTGATTTTTGGATTAGGCTTTTGGATACAGCCCCAGATCAGCTAGATCTGCTGATTCAAAGTTAAATTATTTCAATTCAATCTACCTTGAAATTGGTGGACTACAGAGTTTGTAAAAATGATTGTCACATCCTCCTACTCATTCCATACAGTCAGTTGATGTCCTGCTCTGAACTGAGTGCAAATACTCCGAGACTGCTGTTCTGCTGAAATCTCTTCATCACTGCCACAGTTCACCTGGTAAATAGGAGTAGGTCTGAGGGTTCAGAGGCAATTAGGTAGCAGTTTGTAAACTGGCAGTCTGTGTTTTCTCTGTTTTACAGGTATGCATGTTTTGCAAATGCACTGTTCTATTAAACCAGGTTTTCATATTCTCTATTTTGCTAATATAAACCCAGTCTTCTTCTTTGCCTCTAGGGTCTTAGAGCTACTCTTTGTTACAGATGTAGCTGATATATCTGCATCAGATTCCTTTTGTCTTTCTCTTGCTTCCCTTGTTTCTTTATAAGCAGAAGACTACTTTTTTTTGGCTGAAGCAGTCACCAGTATTCAATTGTGTCGAACGAGTTTGGGCAAATACACAAAAGAAATAATTTAAGCCTTATTTGTTTTCATTTGACAACAAGCAATTGGCATCCAATTGTTAGGTATTCATAACTCCTAAACCATTACTTTCTATGGTTTCTGTGGTTTTCTCTGGACCATTTTCTGAGTAAGATCTCTGCGTTGAAATAACAGGTACTCAGCATGGTTGTGAAGTTCTCTGTTTTTTCCTCTTTGCTTTCTGAAGGTCCTGCCTCATGTATTTCTCAGTAATAAAATTACTCTCTTCTTTATTGCAGGTTTTGCAATGGGAAAAGCAGGTGACAGGATGAATGCTTTACGGAAAGTAAGTTGATTGAATTATTTGTTGCTTGATGACTTTTTTTTAATAATCAGTATGTTTTGTAGTCTATGCAAAGTAGTAAGTCCATATACATCATCTGTCCATCTTGATGCAAATAATCATAGAATCATAAAATCATTTAGGTTGGAAAAGACCTTTAAGATCATCAAGTCCAACCATAACCTTAAGACTGCGAAGTCCACTACTAAACCATGTCCCTAAGCACCACATCTACCCATCTTCTGAATACCTCCAGGGATGGAGACTCGACCACTTCCCTGTGCACCCTGTTCCAATGTTTGACAACCCTTTTGGTGAAGAAGTTTAACCCAATAGCCAATCTAAACCTCCCCTGGTGCAACTTGAGGCCATTTTCTCTCATCATATTGCTTGTTACTTGAGAGAAGAGACTGACCCCCACCTCGCTACAACCTCCTTTTCGGTAGTTGTAGAGAGTGATAAGGTCTCCTCTCAGCCTCCTCTTCTTCAGACTAAACAACCCCAGTTCCCTCAGCCACTCCTCATAAGATTTGTTGTCTAGACCCATCACCAGCTTCGTTGCTCTTCTTTGGACATGCATAATGAAGTTGCCTTGCAATGAGATTCTGCCAATGCACTCTTTTATTTTCTTTCTACTCCCTTTTCTATGGCCTATACCTATCCCCCCTTGCTCACTTGTTTCCAAAATCTATATAGCATACAGTCTGCCTATACAGTTAGTATGTAGGAATTTTTCTCTTACACGTGCATAATGACCTTATTAAGGCTCCTTTAGACTTCAGAATGTTATTTGTCCATCTACATTAATCTAGTTTGTGTTGTAAAGCTCAACTAACCTATCAAAGTAGCAATGCTGAAATACACAAAGTGTGATAAAGCCATTACTATACTGAGAAATCTTTTAAAATATTAAATCTGTTAGGAGAAAGCAGTTCTTTAAAGAGAACATTTTCATTTCCAAAAAGTAAATGGTTTATGCAAAGTTTTAAATACGTGGCAGAAAAATTTTTAAATAAATTCTGCTTTTATTCCCTAGGCAAAGAATAAAGCAATACGCTGCTTACATTTTATAGAGCTGTATCAGAACCACACAAGTAAGTGTTATGATTTTTTTAGACTCCTTTAACTTCCAATAAGTACTGAGTATACCAACAACAACTGGTTGCAGCTAGTTACAAAGCATAAAAAGATGTTAACTAAAACCTTTCTAACTTGATACATTGTTGTCCTGGTTTCAGCTGGGCTGGAGTTAATTTTCTTGCTAGTAGCTAGTATAATGCTGTGGTTTGGATTCAGTATGAGAATAATGTCGATAACACACTGATGTTAGAGTTGTTGCTAAGCAGGGCTTTCACTAAGTCAAGGACTTTTCAGCTTCTCATGCTCTACCAACTGAGAGTTGGAGATGCACAAGCTGGGAGGAGGCACAGCTGGGCCCAAACTGGCCTGTGTAAAATAAATCACCGTTACCTGGAATGAATATGTGGTTTACTCCTTACATTCACTCGAGTTTGTATCAACAGCTATAGGAAGGTCCACAAAGAAAAGTTAAGATTACATAATAGGAGATGATGTTGTTAAAATATTGAGAGATTTATCTCCCTTCTAGTCTTCTGCCTTTACCATGTTTAAAATTTGGACACTTAATGCATAGTATTTCAGGCTCTTTAAAAATAGAGGTTGGGGAAGGGGTAGTAGCAAGATTTGATCTCTGCTGGCACAATTTGAGTTAAGGAAGTCAGATACTGTCTGGGCATCTCTTCTCTACAATGAACTCCTCCGTGCTCTGAACTCTCCTCTTTGTATGTCAGAGATGATTCCCTGTTGACTCAATCCATGTATGCTGACAAAGCCCAGCAGCTGGGGAGAACATGGGCTGGAGAAGTCAGTCTGTTTCATGGTAGCTTTTTGTTAATTCAATTTAATACCATACAAGTCCTCTCTGTCAGACATGGTACCAGTATACCAAACACTCAGTTATCTTCCAGAAAAATGTTGAAAGATAGTACCTTACAGAGTATATGAATATTTAACCAAGTCATTGTGTAGATAAATATTCAGTATAATAAAACTTCAGCTTACAAATACAAAACTGCAGCTACCCTCATGAGTCTATTCCTTGAGCATTATTATTTCACACTAACAGATTGGGGATTTGATTAAAAACTGGTGGTGGTTCCACCATGCTTTCCATTCTACTTAACATAGCGGTCCTCTCTGAGCCATCTTGACTGCAGTGCTAGAATCCACCATGCAGAGACTGAGCCATTGAATCAGATGGATATAGCAGCCACCCACCAGAGGCTATGAGTTGGGGGTTCCTTTTGAAGCAGAGAGACGCAGGAAGACTGTAATGGTAAATATTCTGTATGGAAAATCCAAGAATGCTGAAGCCTGTGGGGAAATCTTAGGTTAAAAGCTGAATTATTGGAAAAATCTGAGTATGAGGAAGAAGGTTAAATTGTATTACATGAGCTCAGTTCAGAGCACTTCAGAGGATCGTTGGAGGCATACAGATGCTTTGTATTTTTCAAGTGAAGCTTGGTTTTGTATACAATAGTAACATAGTATTCACAGATGTGTAAACATTCCTAATGTATTGCAGAAACTTACCTAGATTAACCCTTCTCTTTAAAGAGCTCAGAGGAGAGTAAAACCAACTTCCCATTCACAGTTCTGAAAAAGAAAGCTACTCCTTAAATGTGCTCAGCTAAAGCTTTTCTAGCTGTAGTAACTTTTTTTTTCTCCCCTCCAGTTTACCATGACATTACAGTGAAATTTAAGAGGACAAACATCCGCATGAAGAAGCAAAACAAAGGTAATTAAAACTGCCTGGATATTTCCAAGTTTTATTAATTACTGACTGGTATTTATTTGATGCTATATTTGTACAATGTCTATTTACTTCAGAGACAGATAATTTGGTGCTAGTCTATCATGTTTTAAATGTTGATGAATTATTTTTCATTAGAAATACCTACTGTTGATGACATGGCTTGGTTATTGTAAATTGGGGTTTGACCCTCTTAACACTGGTGGGAGCTCTCTTCCTGGTTTTCTTTCATGCTTCCTAAGTGTAGTTCCTTTTGCTCTAAATTACCTAGATGTGGAAAAGTCTCATCTAAGAGCATAGATGTTGGAGGCAAAGGCCTTTAGAAGAGCCCAGCAGGTTTTTCTTCCCACCAACTGCCCCACACATGCTTTGGAAAATTGATAGGCTTGTTCCATTATTTTTCTGTTTTTAGACAGCTTTTGAGTATCTCCAAGGACAGAGACTCCACAGCCTCTAAAGGCAACCTGCACCAGTGCTTGGTCACCCTCACTGCAAAAAAGTGTTTCCTGATGTTCATATGGTACCTTCTGTGTTTCAGTTTGTGCTCATTGCCTCTTGTCCTGTCACTGGGCACCACTGAAAAGAGCCTGGCTCTGTACTCTCTGCACCCTCACTTCAGATATTCATATATATTGATAAGATAACCCTGAGCCTTCTCTTCTCCAGCCTAAACAGTCCCAGCTCTCTCAGCCTTTCCTGATATAAGAAATGCTGTAGTTTCTTAATCATCTTTATGACCCTTTTCTGGATCTCTCCAGTATGTGCATATCTCTCTTGTATTGGGGAGCCCAGAACTGGACACAGGGCTCCATGTCTGTCTCGCCAGTGCTGAGTACAGAGGGGAAGGATCACCTCCCTCAACCCACTGGCAGCAGTCTTCCTAATGCAGCCCAGGATGCTGCTGGCTTTTTTTTGCTGCAAGGGCATATTCCTGTCTCACAGTCAGCTTGGTGGTAACCAGGATCTGCCAAGCTGCTTTCCAGCCATTTGGCCCCCAGGATGTATTGGTGTGTGCACGTCCTTCCTGGGTGCAGGACTTTGCGCTTGCCCTTGTTGAACTTCATAAGGTTCCTGTCAGCCTATTTCTCCAGCCTGTCAAGGTCCCTCTGGATGGCAGCACAACCCTCTGGTGTATCAGCCACTCCTCCTGGTTTTGTATCATCAGCAAACTCTGCCCCACCGTCCACATCATTAATGAAGACGTTGAATGCAATTGGGCCCAGTACTGACACCTGGGGTACACCACTAGTTACTGGCCTCTAGAGTTCATGCCACTGATTACCACCCTCTGGGCCCCGTTGTTCAGCCAGTTTTCTATCCACCTCACTGTCTGCTCATCCAGCCCATGCTTCATCACCTTCTCTGTGAGGATCTTACAGGAGATAGTGTCAGAAGCCTTACTGAAGTCAAGACAGATAATATCCACAGCTCTCCATTTCATCATAGAAGGCTGTAAGGTTGGTCAAGCGTGACTTCGCCGTAGTGAAACCATGCTGACTACTCTTGATCACCTTCTTGTACGTCAAGAGCCTGGAAATTGTTTCTAGGATTAGTTGTTGGATCAGCTTCCCAGGGATCTAGATGAGGCTGACTAACCTGTAGTTCCCTGCATCCTCCAGTACCTCAGCCTTTTCCATGTCCTGTGTCACCAGGTCCCCTGCCCCGTTCAGCAGTGAGCCCACATTTTTCCTAGTCTTCCTTTTGCTGCTTAGATACTTATAGAAGCCCTTCTTGTTGCTTTTGACATCCCTTGCCGGATTCAGTTGGGCTTTAGCTTTCCTAACTGCATCTCTGCATGCTCAGTGTCTCTGTTACTCAGGTTACTTGTCACTGCGTCCATCTTCTTTTTATGTTTGAGTTTTGCCAGGAGCATCTTGTTCATCCATGCAGGCCTTCTGGCATTTTTGTCTGACTTACTGCTTGTTAGGATGGACTGCTCCTGAGCTTAGGGGAGGTGATCCTTGAATATGACGGGCTTTCTTGGGCTCCTCTTCCTTCCCAGGGCCTTACTCCACAGGACTCTTCCAAACAGTTCCTTGAAGAGCCAAGGCTGTCTTTGACCTTCACATCCCTAACAAGGCCTTCCTTGTTTGTGAGTACAAGGTCCAGCGGAGCACCTTTCCTTGTTGGCTTCCCTGTCATTTGAGCCAGGAAGGTGTCATCACTGCACTCCAGGTATCTCCTGGGTTGCTTATGCCCTTTTGTATTCTTTCTCCAGCATCTGTTGGTGTGGCTGAAGTCCTCCATGAAGACCAGGGCCTGTGACTGTGCGGCTCCTTCTAGCTGTCTGTAAAAGGCCTCATCCTCTTGTTCTTCCTGATCAGGTGTCCTTCAGCAGAGAGATGCCCTACAATGTCACCCATATTGGCCTGCTTTTTCATCCTTGCCCATAAGCTCTCAGTTGGCTCATCATCCACCCCCAGAGTAGAGCAGATCTCCATGCATTCCAGCTAGTTTCTCACATAAAGGGTAACTCCACCTCCTTGTCATCACAACCTGTCCTTTCTAAAGAGCCTGTACCCCTCCACTGTAGCACTCCATTCATGTTAGCCATCCACTGTTTCTGTGATTTCAACAAGACCACAGACCTGCAACTGCACACAGATTTCTGAATTCCTCATGTTTATTCTCCATGCTGCATGCATTAGCGTACAGGCATTTCAGAGGGGGACCTTACCATGCTGATTTCCCAGGAAGCGCTCTTCCATTAACAGTGCCTTGCAGACACTTCCTTGCTTACATGCAAATGCTGGAGGTGACCCTGCTCATTGACTTCTCCTTCTGACCTCCAGCATGCTTGCAGCCCTTCCCACGATGGTATCCTCAACCCATTTTTTTCAGTCTCTGTTCCCACATCCAAGTTGTTAATGAAAATACTTGCAGATATTAAAGCCGTAGCCAATCCACAGCAGGATCCTATCTGGAAAACGCTCTTTACCTGGCAGCGGACTGCTGGTAATAGGAATACATACTTTAGTGATGATTTTGCCTGGTTCTTATTTCCCTTGTATTTTTGTGAGAATATCATGGCAAACTGTCACAATGCAAGTCCAGTTCTGTCACATTAACACCTTCACCTCGGCGGCTTGTTGCTGCCAGTTTTGGCCAGTGCTTTGCCTTGTCTGAGTATCTTGCTAGCCTTTTCAGTTACACAACACATTCACATACGTGCAAATATCCTCCAAAAACCAGGAAACACTTTTCCACTTAATGAATATTTTCCCTGTTTTATAACTGATTTATTTTAGATTGTGTATTTCCTGAAACAGGTTTGGTGTTGTCTAAGGAAAGATTGTGCATATGTCCAACATGCTCTGGGCAGCAGGCATCGCTGGCCTTATTAAGAAGTGTAATGATAGATCAGCATGTAAAATTTTGTAGCTGAATTTTCTGTGTGTGTGAGAGAGAGAGTTCATTATGTGCTCATGACCTAAAACAAGCTGTAACATACGTCTATGCAAAATTGAGTTTTTAGGGATGGTATAGATAAAGCTCTTGCTGATTTTACTTTAGTCCCTGGCAGGCTTTTGTGTTACACTCTAAGGGAAGGATTCATAGCAGCATCGGGAACTGGCTGTAATTTTAGAACAGTTAAATGACTTGTGGACATACTACAGAACAAGGTTTAACTTGAGACATGCTCTGGACTTCGTGTCCGCCACCATTCCAGATCACTCCTGTTTCTAGCACGTGCCAGCTAGATGGAAACTACCAGGGGTATTGCTTGTCTGTGCTGCAGAATATGCTACCTTTTGGAGCGTGGACAGCTCTTAATGCTCATCTCTGACTTAATTTTACAATTAAAGTAGTCGTGAGACTACTCTGCTAGCCACATTGATACATCTCTAAGTCATGTAAATTAGTTCCTAATGTGGATTAATAAGGGGGAATGCAACAGTGGCTGTGAAGCCCAGCACTGATACCCTGTAGCTGTAATTAATAGGTATAAGACATTACAATTATTCATAGTTTTCACATCAGACCATGGCATATGTAGACTGTCTTAATTTAAAGTATAAAGGATTGCTGATGCCATTACAGCTGTATAGTTACGCATGCTGAAGCCTCTCGCTTTGCATAATTACAGCTGGCCGTTTATTTCCAGTTCCTGTACATAGGACTCAACTATCTGAATAAATGATCTCAACAAAGCCTTACGTTATAGTAGAAAAGGTAAAGTCACTCTTATACTTAAACATTCCTTTCTTGAATTTATTCCAAATCCCTTCAAAGTGGAGAAAACCCCATCCTCTAGTCAGGATTACATATGAGACAAATGAACTTGTGAATCTGAATTTAACTCAGAGTAGTCCCCTAGTGTGGATTTAAAATGGATGGTCTACTTCCAAACTCTTGTTAGTGGCTACCCAGAAAATCCAATCTAGATTGCCTCTAGCAGGTTGTGTTAGTTTACAGGAATGATGCATTTTAAATACTACTTCTGGTTACCTTTATATCTTTTTCAGTATAAGAAAATTTGTTACACTTAAATGACCCTGTTTTCTTATATAGGCCTCACTGAATTAAACCACAGTAAGGCAGCCTCAGTGCCACAGACGAGTTAAAAATGTTTGAGCACAACTTTGTCTCCTCAGCTGAAGTTTGCAGTTGGAACCCTTTCCTTTTGTGTTTGGAATAAATTTTGTTCAGCGACCGATGGACTATGCTGGCTTCTGAGTTTCATGTATTAGCAATCTGCAGAAACCTGTTTGAGATGAGGTGGGAGAAAAGCAACAATAAAACCACCAGAAATTAAATGCTTTAAGTCACTGAAAATGAAACTTTGACAAACAGCCTTTAGAGGTCACTCACATGGAATTGTGTCTGAAACTGGACTTTGTCTTACAGCATAGAAAACAGTATTTTCTCAAATGGCAGAACAAATGGCTTTGGATGGTTATAGTTTCTTTTCCAGTTATAGGTTAAAAGAAAAAGGGACGTATTGGCACAATAAAACCTACAGCACTGGAATAGATTTCCCCCCTTCCCCCCC